AAGCAAACACTTGATCTTTGGTGTGTGTAACGATCAAGTTCTGATCAAATGATGTTCATAGGCTACAATGGTCTTTAGTTTGGGAATGGCTGCTTTTTAAACATTTAAATTAGCTTTAGGCTGTGTTTCCAAGTAGTTTCTGGTTTGTTTGTTTGTTTTCTGTTTGCAGAAATCTATCTCCAGTACTCATTTAACAGACTAATCAGCATTACACCAGAGTCCAGGTAAGGCCAGCCTTAAAATTGATTTATTTAATTTAGTCATAATATAGTCACACATATAGTCACACATTTTAAAGGCTACAGTTCTGTTGCTTAAATTACACCAGATTTACAACTACAATTTTAAACAAAGTACAAAATATCAATATTTATGGAATTTGGTATCTATTGACTTCCGACCGGTGTTCATTGCTGGAGCTAACTAATCTGAGCTGTGGTCTGCTTGTTAAAAGAGCTTAACTGGGCTGTTTGAAAGCCATATAAAATAATAAGCAGATGTAGGAAATTTACCATGGATAGCCTGTTTATTCTGAAATTCTTAAAATGCTAATCACAAATTGTGTTTGTCTTTTCAGTTTGTTTGATGCCATATACTCCCTGTTAAAGAATAAGATCCACCGCCTGCCAGTTATCGACCCGGCATCAGGAAACGTCCTCCACATCCTCACTCACAAACGCATACTCAAGTTTCTCCACATTTTTGTAAGGAGACACTTCTTGTGCAGCACACCGTTAACTTAATCCCATAATTTAATTGCAGTTAAAAGACCTGGCTCATGCCACACAGTAAGCAGAGGTAGAAACATGTAGCTCCTTTGTGTAACATATGATACAAATGGCAGCCTGGATACATCTGCATGCCCTCAATATGCTCAAAAGGGCTGTCATCACTGTTTGAAGATGTCTACTTTTACATTTTAATTGATGCATTATATTATTTCATTTGAGACTTTATATATTAAGAATAATAATAGGGAAATGCAAAATCTCGAAATCACAATATATTATCTTTTATTATGTCTTTTCCCTTTAGGGGTCTATGATTCCCAGACCCAGGTTTCTTCAAAGGCAAATCCGTGAAGTGCCGATTGGTACCTTTAAACATATTGCAACAATCCAGGAATCGGCTTCCGTCTATGATGCTCTGTGCCTGTTTGTGGAGAGAAGAGTGTCAGCCCTGCCTGTGGTCGATGAACGAGGTAGTTTGATATCATGCTAATTGTTCCTATTGATAGACTTAAGCTGAAAACTGCATTCTTCCTCCTGTATCCGACTAATGGACAGACTCCCCTTTCCAGCACCTAACATAGACTTTCCCAGGGAGGCTAGGGAGTGTGATCCTTCGATAGTTGGAACACACCCTCCAGTCTCCCTTCTTAAAAATGGGAACCACCACCCCAGTCTGCCAGTCCAGAGGTACCGCCCCTGATCTCCACTTCAGGAACTCAGGGCGAACCTCATCCACCCCAGGAGTTGTTTAACTGCCTCAATGACCTTGCTCCTATCAGACTCTGCTTCCTCCACGGAAAACGTGTCAGTGGGATTAAGGAAATCCTCAAAGTATTCCTTCCACCACCGGACAACTCCTCCCACACTTGAGTTTTTGCTTCAGCCGCTGCCTGAGCCACGTTCCTCTTGGCCTGTTGGTACCTTCCAGCTGCCTTCAAAGTTCCACAGGCTAACCAAGCCAGAGAGGACTCCTTCTTCAGCCTGGTGGCTCCCTTCACCTCTGGTGTCCACCATTTGGTTCAGGGGTTGTGGCCACCTTGTGGCTGCAGCTCAGTGCAGCCTCGGCAATGGAGGTCCTGAACATGGTCAATTCGGACTCAGTGGATTGAGCATCTCCCTCGGTATGTTACTGAAGCTCTGTGGGAGGTATGCGTCGAAGATCTCGTAGACTGGGGCCTCTGCCAGGCACTGCCAGGTCTGTCCAGCATCCGCCCCCACTACCTGATTCTCTTTACCCGAGTGTCCAGAACATATGGCGGCAGGTCTGATAATACGATTACAAAATCGATTATCAACCTGTGGCCTACGGCGTCCTGGTGCTACGCGCACTTACGGACACTCTTATGTTTGAACTTGGTGTTTGTTATGGACAAACTGTGGTTGAAGTCCAAGAACAAAACACCACTTAGGTTCAGATCTGGGAGGCCTTTCCTCCCAATCACGTCCCTCCAGGCATCACTGTTGTTGCCCACAGCATGTCTTTTATCCTGTCTTCCTTCTCTCACCCCAACCAATCACAGCAGATGGCCCCGCCCCTCCCTGAGCCTGGTTCTGCTGGAGGTTTCTTCCTGTTAAAAGGGAGTTTTTCCTTCCCACTGTCGCCAAAGTGCTGCTCATAGGGGGTCATATGATTGTTGGGTTTTTCTCTGTATCTATGAAGCGCCTTGAGGCGACTTTTGTGGTGATTTGGCGCTATATAAATAAAATTGAATTGAATTGAATTGAATTGATACGTTTACATTAGCATGTAAAGCTTTCAGCCCTTGGTCTTGTCATAATACAGATTACTAAAGAAGATCAGCTTTTCTCTTTTTTTTTTGCTATTTGACAATTAAAGGCCTTCTGTTATAACATTTTCATGTGCATATGCGCTATAGATGTAAATTCCATACAAAGCAGCAGAGGTGAACCTAGCCCTGCCACTAACCCTAATCAGACACCTAGTGGATGCAAAGGAGAATAAAATTCTACCAATTGATTTTTGACAAGGCTGACAATAATGACAACAGTTTGTAAAGCTGTTATCAAGGCAAACAATAGCCACATTAGACCAAAAACCTTCATATTACGAAGAGTCATAATATGAAGGTTTTTGGTTTGTTTGCTACATAATTTAATAAAAAAAAAATTTATTGTTCTTTTTAATTTTTTTTGCATATTTTGGAAAAAGGTAAAAAAACAAAAACTTACCTCATGGCCTTTCTGTGTGTATCCTCTGTAGGTAAAGTGGTGGCGCTGTACTCCAGATTTGATGTTATTGTAAGTTGCTATATAGGACCCACATGTGTTACTCTGTATATCTTCACACACAATTTCTGATACCATAAATTTATTAAAGAAAAAATAGAATAGAGTTAAATACTTTATATATAAGCAGTTAAACCAGAAATGTTATTATCTTATGAAAGTAAAATCAGTAGCTGCTAACAACATTAAGCATTGTTGGGTTTTTTCTGTCCCTAAGAACCTTGCAGCCCAGAAAAACTATAACCACTTAAATATGACAATGCGGGAAGTCGTTGCATCCAGATTCTGCTGTGTTGAGGGGGTCCTTAAGTGCTACCCTCACGAAACACTGGAGACCATCATCGATCGCATTGCACAGGCTGAGGTAATACAGCGCAGCCTGCAGTGCTGCAAAAATAATACTTATACACAAACTGCTGAGACACTGTTGGTGGCAATATGAGTCAGAAGTGAGAGCTCTTGACTGTGTAATCAAAGTTAGTCCATTAGGCTCAGGTACGTTAGGTAGATGCACAACCTAAGGACTTAAAAATACAGCTTCGATACCTAATGTGTCAGGGTGTACTGATGTATCCAGCAGAGTGGAGCTGAAAAATGTTATCTTTTGTTTCACCAGGTACATCGGTTGGTGTTGGTTGACAGTGATGATGTGGTCAGAGGGATTGTGTCTTTATCTGACCTTCTCCAAGCCCTCGTTCTCTCTCCTGCAGGCATTGATGCACTGTACTCCTAATGTTCCCTCTAA